TATCTTGCAAAAAATGCCTCCTAAAAACAGCGGGGAGCCATTTTGAACAGCCGGCAGCCATTTTGAAAACCCGACGATCAGCTGTTTTGATTGTCGTAATGCGAAGAATCAGTTCCCTAAGCAGGGAACCGATCGTCGCAAAGCAAAAAAACCCATTAAAACATCGTTTTGCGATCGCAAAAACACCATCGTGAAGCGGATTTGTCGATATACGGGGTAATGTTAACTGTGGCATGACTGTAAAGACCAACACCTTTACAGACATGCTTATGTAGGACTAGTTGTTTTGAAAAAAACACAACCTACAAACACTATTCAAGCCCACCACAAAAATACAACATATTTTACGGTCAGCAAAGGACAGAAGGGGCCCCCTCACCACTGCAGGAGTATAACAGATACCTTGCAGTTGTGGCCAGGTATATATTGGAACCACAAAACGAAGCATTCACACCAGAATCAAAGAACATGAGAGACAATGCAGACTAAAACAACCAGAAAAATTGGCAGTAGCTGAACATGTCCTAAAACAAGCTGGACATGAAATTCTATTTCAAAATACTGAAATACTGGAGAACACCAGCAATCATTACATTAGACTGCACAGGGAAGCCATTGAAATCCACAAACGCCAGCAGAACTTCAACAAAAAAGAAGAAAGTTTAAAACTCAACAAAGCTTGGCTCCCAGCACTGAAAAATACAGTGTGCAAAAGGTCAATAAACTCTACCCAGCCACAAGGACTGGGGATCACTACACACAAAAGACCAGCTAATGACACCCATCAATCATAGTGACAGATAATCTCTCCTCCTTATCACAACAATACACCTACAACAAAAACACACCATTATGGTCACCATAATCACCCATCTCCTGAAAAGGGCAAAAGCTGATCCCACAGCAATAAATACTAAACTCCCAAACAAACTGCACCAGAGCACAGAGTGCTACTCCTGTTCTCTGAAGATGCCGGCCACAGGGACTGGTGAAATGTTAGGAAGAACAACCTTCAGAACATGGCTAAAGAGCCCGAAAAACCCACAACAACCACTAGTTGTAGAGTTCTTTGATCTCACATCACATGAAATTGTACTTTTCAAGAATGTTTGGTTAAGTGTGGAGTAGCTGAAGTTTGACATACCAGTACCTGTAAAATCTCCTCTCTCTCAAATGCATGCATGCATGCACTCACTGCATGCTATGAGGCTTTCCATTTTAGGTCATTGTTCTCTGATGCCTAAGGTGTTGCCCATGTAATGGTAAAATTATGAAAGGCTTTTGAAATATTCCTTGGAAAACTTCAAACTTACTTGGCTATGTTCTGGTAAAAGCAATTATGTATGCAGCAAAGAGGAACATTTTTTCAAATCCTTTTGCAGACAACAAAACAAGACAGCACTTCAAAGTAAAGGGAGAAATTACACAGAGGATTCTTGAATTCCTGAGACATGGTTTAGTACTACACAATGATGGGAAATGGCAACTTTCTTTAAAGAACTCCTCAAGAGATAAATACCACCTATGCAGAAGCAAATAAGTGGTTTACAAAAACCTTCAATTATCGTTCAACCAAAGTAAGCTAACTGCAGAATGTTTCCCTATTCAAGTTAACACTTTAAAACTGAAAGAAACAGACTAACTGATAAATTGGAATACAGCTCAAGCACAATGATCAGGATTCAGTATGCTCAAATGACTGGGGGGTGGGGATGCTATCCCAAACTACGTATAAATGGAAATATCTGAGTTCTAGCCAGAAAAATTGAGACCTAAACAACTCACAAAGCGTGTGGAGGCAGGAAAAAGAGAAAGGATAATGGAGACATATACAGTTGGAGCTATGTGAAGGTCACAATCATGAGCAGGAAGAAATAGGAGCCCAAGCATTCAGTAACAGAAATATAGTGCCCTTTAACATGGCAGCAACCAGTGATAAGAAAATGGAATAGTTTTCACGAAGGTACATATGTTAGCTTGCTTTGGCAAAAACAAGAAAGGGGTGGTGGTAGTGGTGGTGGCATCTTTAAGACAAGCAGGCATATTTCTGGGTCAGCTTTCATTATTACAACTCAACCTTCAAATGTTAGTGGAACAGCAACCGGCACATGCACCTAATCTACAATAATTGCACTGAAAGCCCTTTTCAGCTTTCAAAGCACTCAAAGCTGCCACTGCCCCTTAAAGTAATCTTCAGTCCCAGCTATGGCCTTATTATCAGAGCCACTGCTCAAGCTGCAACAAAGGCAACATCATTAGATTAAACATGTCCTCCCCTTGTCCTGGGTTATAATATGGAAATCAACATGTCTGAAAGGCCATGACCTGTCAAGAGTAATGGTGAAAGTTCCCCATTCCCTCTAAACAAACAAACAAACAAAAAAGCAGCAGCAAATACTATCACACTGTGACAGCCTATGTTTGTTAACTCTGCAGGCTACATCTCTTGGATTCCACACCTCTCAACAATACAATGTGCATGGAAAAAAGTGCCCATTTGGGGAAGACTAAAAAATAAAACAGTCTGAAAGAAGAACACATGCTTGTTTGAAAATCAAGTCTGCAACTGTAGTTCTAAAACAGGCCGAAAACTTATGTAGGATTGCCAGAATGGAGACTTCTGGAGCTGTCTTACCCATGTTTAGGATTTACAACAGAAATGCTTCTCAAAGATCTCCCACCTTCAAAAGGAAGTCAGTGGAGACCACAGAGACCTTCTTATGGACACAGGCAGGGAATACATCCCATATCCTCACCATCTTTTCAGTCTTGTCCAGTTTCAGGCACAGAGCCTGAATGCAGATTTAGGGAAGGGGGTAGGTGATCTCAGCAGGGCTGAAGGCCATTTACCAGATGCAGCCTGAATGACGGTCACAATTCCAAGGTGGGGGATGGAGGTGAACAAAGAAACTAATGTACAATCTTTTCCAATTCTTATTATGTAAAGATGCTAAGAATTGTTTTTGTTAACCAAGAAAAAGATTCAACTAGCTAAATAAAACTAAAGTGCTCTTGTGCCCTCTAATGGCAAATATTTAAAATTGGGGGGGGGGTTGAGGGGCTTGGAGCTCCTAAAAATGGCAAAATTGCCCCCCTCCATGCCAGGTCTTTTTCTTTCTTATAGACAAAAATACAACAAAAATATTTACTTTGACCTGCTCAGATTGTGTCTCAGGAATTTCCTGTTAAAGTAGGATTTTTCCCCTCCTTTTTCAATATATTCAAGTATAACTTACAAAACATTTCAAAATGTAAAACACAAGCCATTTTACTTACGGCATGATCTCAACAAATAGTAATACATTTCATCTCTATCACAGTCAAATAGATTTTGAGTCAGTTGTACCATATTTTCCAGACAGTCAACCTTTAAAAGGAATACAAACAAACACATTTATATCACAACATTTAAAATCTCTGATTTTTAGACTGCCATACAGTTTTTCCATCTGCTAAAAAACATATATCAGGGGGGTGGGGGGTGGAACGACCAAGTAGGAACAAGAGTTGTGACTGTTTACTTCTAAAGGGGTGGGGGCGGGGGGTGAAACGACCAAGTAGGAACAAGAGTTGTGACTGTTTAGTATCAATGATTTTTGCAATATACTGTTATCATAAGAATATATTTCACTAAAATATCAAAAGACTGAATTATGTAAAGATATTGCAGAAATTAACCAATTAGTCAACATTTCCTATTAGATCTGCATACTATAACAACCATTAAATTTTCATGTACAGTGGTGCCTCACTAGACAGTTACCCCGCATGACAGTTTTTTCGCTAGACATTGACTTTTTGCGATGGCTATAGTGATTCACAAAACAGTGATTCCTATGGGGGAATTTCGCTGGACAATGATTGCTTCGCAAACCGATTTTCGCTAGATGACGATTTTGACAGCTCCCTCCGTGCTTGCAAAACAGATGTTTTCGGGACCTAAGCTTCACAAGACAGTGATTTAAACAGCTGATTGGCGGTTCGCAAAGCGGCTTTCCTATGGCCGATCTTCGCTAGACAGCGACAACTGTTCCCCATTGGAACGCATTAAACAGGTTTCAATGCATTCCAATGGGGAAATGCTTTTTCGCTAGACAATGATTTCGCTAAACAGTGATTTCAGTGGAACGGATTATTGTCTAGCGAGGCACCACTGTACCTTACATTTGTTCTAACTATGTGAAAGATTCAACAGTGTATTTCCACAAGCAAAACTAGGAAGGGGTAATGGACTTCTGCTATCTTTCCAAGCACGTTTTCACTACTACTGAAGGAAGCAGGAGGAAAGTCTGCTAATGAACTAGGAAGGGGGTAATGGACTGCTGCTATGTGGACTGAAAATCTTCCCAACCAGGTTTTCAGTACTGCTGAAGGAAGCAGGAGGAAAGTCTGCTAATATAGATGCAACTCAAAAACAGTTTTTTCCTGGTAAACCCACTTTAACAATATGGCTATATTCTTAGGATATATATTTTACATATAGCAAAATCCGCAATATACATACCAGATTATTTGTAATACACTTCTCTGCAAACCACTGCAAACGGGATGGTTGAGCTCTGAGGCCCTGTGTCTGCAAAACAGGATTCTAATATGAATAACTGCGTACTTGCTTATTTAGAACAAGTCCATGATTTTATAACTCAAATTCCTGGGGAGAGAGCATTAACTGAAATTGCCTACCAATTGGGCATTTTCTAAAATACAGACTCACTTTTTACACTTAACAGGGTTAAAGATGTGTTTGGTGGTTACATGGGAGAAGGCCTTCTCTGTTGCTGTTCTCAGATTCTGGAACTTCCTTCCATAGGAGTCTATGCTGGCCTCATCTTTACAAGTCCTTTCACAAGCAAGTGAAGCCCTTCCTCTTCAGGCAGGCTGCCTGAGTGGGATTTTTATATGAATTGTTGTACCTTACTACTTTGAATGTGATTTGGCATAGCGTAGGTTTTTAATATGGTTTTTTTTTGCTCTTTTTTAGTATTTGTATAGTCACTGTATCTAGTTTAAATACTTTTTTTTAAAAAAAATGTTTTTTCACCCATTTTGGGTTTTTCTTTTAAGGAGAAAGGTGGGGTAATAAAAAATAAATATAAACAAATAAAATAAGTTCTAAAGATAACTATTAAAAAGTCAGGGGCAATAGAGATAGAGAGATATTTAAACATAATAAAAAAACCCTACTTTTTTAAAAAAAAGTTAAAACACAATTTCTATTAAACTACCTTCTCAGTATTAGATATAAATATAAACAAAGCCGAATTTGAAGGCTTTGAATCCTTGACATGGATTCATTAGCTACCAAGATGATCTAAATTAAATTGCTGTCGTCATTTCAGTGATGGAGGGCTGTTGGCATGACCTCCCAGCTGCCAACAATATTAGATGTTGAAGCCTGCAATCCTAGACCCAGACCTAACATCAAATTGTAAGCCCCCAAATACAGCCTATCCACTGGAAGAAATCAACACTTCTTAAATCAACACTAGTTCAAATGAGTAAATGAGTCTACTCTATTTGGAATTAACAACTAGAATTAGCCCATTATAGTAGCACAGGTTAAATTAAATTTTATTATCTTATCTTAATTGAATTTTGCAGACTAAACTAGGCTGTGTGACCATTAATTTTTTTATTAATGGTTTATTTATTTATTTATTAGATTTATATACCACCCATCTAGAACATGTCTATACTGGGTCGTAGAGTATCTGAAGACAATTAGAACTATCTGAAGACAGTTCTTCTAACAGTCTGTACTTTTTCTTCAGCACAGAAATTCCCCAAGCTGCAGTAACAGTGATTCAAGAGCTAGGTCAATGCTGGGGGTGTATCCTGATAAAAATGAATTTCATTTGCAATTTAACTACAATAAATTATTTTCCTTTTAGCTTGCTTAATTCTCTTCTTTCCATACACTCAGTTCCAATACTTTCTACTAATCCCCAGCTCTAGCCTGCATATGTGGGCAATTACAGCAATCTTTATAAGAACATTTTTACAATGCAAGTTATGTAGCAATAATTCCCAAATGAAACTCCAAATCTACTTTTTCTTTCTGCAGAACAACTTTCATGTCACTTCAAAATAGCCACACCAAACCAAATGGTTTTCATAGAATTTATTGCCTTTTCTTTGAGATTAGTCTTCGGAAAAAGAAATTTTATTTGCTATTCCACTGACCAAAAGGTCTATCTGAGCTTTTCTGGTGTTACGAAAATTAGCTCACCCTGAAGCTAATCTCTACTTGTCTTGGCAAAAGAGTAAGGGGTAATGTTACCCTTCTTATTGTTCTGTTCCAATACCACAAAGAAACACCACAAACACATTCATTTAAAATCTAAACATGTTAAAGAATCAAAAAACAAAAACAGACTCGACAATCAAGAATGTGTCAGACACTGACTATCAGGAACCTATTACAAATTGAAAAACTATGCATCATTCACATTGTCTTCAATTGCATTTTAGAGAACTTGTTAAGCAATCAAACATTTCTCTCTTCCTTACTCTCTCTCTTATACATCCTTTCTTCTTCATGTACCTCACTTTGTATGGTGTAAATCCAATGAATTATCAGAGGCTCAAGAAAGTGACATTAGCCTTTTCAGTAGAAAAGTAGAACATAGTTCTTGCTAACCTATACCTAATAGGACTTCCAACATACAGGAGATATTTAAGGAGTGATTTTACCAGTTCTACACCCACAGTGAGTGTCTGCCTGAGTGGGGATCTGATCACAGGCCTCCTGAGTTCTACACCATCTCTCTATCTACTACATCATACTGGATAGGAATGTAATTAGTTATAGAATAAAACAAACAGAGGAACAGACTGTCAACACTAAGATTTTTTTAAAAGAAGCACAATCTTAAAAGAATGTTCTCTGTGTTATTTCTGCTGTCTTCTTTATGAATTAAGCAAGTTCATGACATTTGACTTTTTAGGAGGTCTTCAGTTATGATTAAATGTTCATTTCAGACTATAAGATACATATTAGTTCTACTGGCATGAGGTTTTGCAGTAACAAGACAGGCGGAAAACAAAAATGGAGGAAATAGTGAAACAGCAAGAATCAAAATGGCAATTGGTTAATTTCTCGCCATCTCTTCCCTCCCAGCCACTTTCAGCAGAACACCTTCTGACAAATAGAAAGCCTAATCCTAAAAATGCGCTAAGATGCTTTTAAAATAATCTCATTCTGGTTGCACATCAGGACGCTCAAATCAGGATTTTATGCCAAATGCAGGTAAAGATGAAGTGATTTTCCAGCAGATTCATACCATCAACAGAAACTACTATATGATTTTGTAGAACACACAGCATTGGCACGTGAACTCATACTTGCTTAATATGCAACTATTTTTTCTTTCTAATCTGAACATCTTCCAAACAATTTTAGAAAAGCATGTAAAAGGGAGGGGGGGAAGCAACCAGTGCAAACTAAAGAATTAACATCTTATACAACATGTCCATGGAAATTAAAAGAAAAGATATATGTTGTTACTTGAATCTGTAGATAATCCTCTTTGTGACATGATGAAACTCAAATGTGGCATTCACTTCCAACTTTCAATATCATTGCTGCTCCAAATGCCAATGATCTGAACAGCTTTAAATGCTGAAAACTTTATATAGCAAATCCTCATCTCTTAAGAAATGATTGCTTGAGCTGATCACTTACAAGAACAGCTGAGTTATTCTGTGGATATTCTTGTGTTTCATTTTGAAATTGAGAAGTATTTTCACATACAGTAGGTTCTCAATCATCAAAAGAACATCTAGGTCAGATTAACTAAATCTCCAGGGCTTGCACGATAGTCCATATTTGGGGCTTATCTCCAACCATCTTGCTGTATTTTCAACATTGTGGCTGGTATGACACTGAGACATCTATAATACATTATATTGTATATTAAAATAACTGCTGCAACCTGTAATCCTTTAACAAATTGTGTTATTTTAAAAAGTTATAGGTCACTCAATGAAAATATTAACTATATCAGCCATGCTCCTAGTGCATTTATTAAACAAAAAAAAATCATACTTTGGATATTATTATTATTTTTCTGGGTATGGTAATTTTGCTTTTTAACCCTCTGTGCAGTTTTCTAATTAATGTATAATACCTTACAAAGCATCGACCTGTTCTGGGCGGGTTTTGCAGCATGGTTTTGGGCTGGGTGGTTCTGTTTCTGTGCTGTGATGGGTCTTGGGGGGTTTGTTTGTTTTATGGTATTTTCCCCCATTTCCAATGGGTCTTGGGGGGTTGTCTGTTTTTTGGTATTTTCCCCCCATTTCTGATGTGTCTTCCATGCTTCGCTTGCTTTCTGCTTTGCTTTTTCCTCATTTCCGATATGTCTTGCATGCTTCACTTGTTTTCTGCTTTGCTTTCCCCCCATTTCTGATGTGTCCTGCATTCTTGGCTTGCTTTTCTTCCCCCCCCCTCTTCAGCCGGAACGGACTAATTGTGTTTCCCATCGGTCTTTCAGTGTGGGTTTTTTGGTGATTTTTTCCTTCGGTCAGAAGGGATTAATTGCATTTCAATGGGAAATGGTGCTTCGACTTACGACCATTTCAAGTTACGACCATCTTCCAGAATGGATTGAATTTGTAAATTGAGGCACCGCTGTACTTCAAGGAATTTATGCAGCAATTGAGATATGTTTCGGCTGTAATAGTAGTTATTGTTTTGATTTACCATGCAGGTTTTATTTTTTCCCCTTTGGATATTTTGGGTTTTGGATCTCACTATTCAAGCCTTGTGAGCTGGGTAGCTGTAGTATTGTTTTAAATGTTGTTAGCTGCCCAGAGTAGTGTCTTGGCACTAGATGGGTAGGGTATAAATGAAATGAAATGAAATGAAATAAATAAATAAATAATAGAATGATACAAAGCTTCCCCTCATTTCCTTTATTCAATGCTGCAAATGAAACATTGCTACCACTGGAACAAAAAAACCCACCTCTGCTAAATCCCACTTGATCTCTCTTCTTCATTCTATATTGATTCAGCATTTATTTACTCCATTTACTGCTCACAGTATATATTTACATATTAGTCTATATATCTCTTTTGAACACACATACAAATATACACATCATGTTAATAAATACTTATATAAAGTAATTTGTTCCAACCACCCTCTACCCAGCAGGTCACATCAATAATCCTGGAAGCTAAATTTCTTTGGAACATCTATATTAAAATGAAGTCAAATCATACTTAACAAATAAAATAACATCTTGCTACAATAGTCTTATCTCCAACACAAAATTGTATTTCATGATCATTTTATACAGATTCATACAGAAAGCAATCTGGATGAAAGGGTGCTGTAATCTCTCAATCTTAGGGCCCAGAAATATTTTCATGGTTTTTATGGTAGATTAAAAACATTCAAAACCAATAGTGACTAGTATCTTGAAAATTGGCTGGCATTGTAATATGTCACAATGGTGTGCTGAAATCAATGGACTGCTACAATTCATCATATATTTTTCCATTTTTTATCACCAGCTTAAAATAGCTTCCTTATCACCTCTGAGTATCTATAGCTGCTTTATTATCAAGTACCTCTTGAATCCCCTGACCAAATGCACGAGGGGAGCATATAAGTCATACTGTTCTAGTACTAAATAGATAATATTAGATGTCAGTACCATAGGGCCTTAAAGAAAAAAACCATAAAGGCTGGTAGGTTATTATAGTAACAGTTAAACATAACATTTGTTGTTGTTTAGTTGTTAAGTTGTGTCCGACTCTTCGTGAACCCATGGACTAGAGCACACCAGGCCCTCCTGTCTTCCACTGTCTCCTGGAGTTGGGTCAAATTCATGTTGGTCACTTTAATGACACTGTCCAACCATCTCGTCCTCTGTTGTCCCCTTCTCCTCTTGCCTTCACATTTTCCCAACATCAGGGTCTTTTCCAGGGAGTCTTCTCTTCTCATGAGATGGCCAAAGTATTGGAGCCTCAACTTCATGGTTTGTCCTTCCAGTGAGCACTCAGGGTTGATTTCCTTCAAAATGAATAGGTTTGTTCTCCTTGCAGTCCAGGGGACTCTCAAGAGTCTCCTCCAGTACCACAATTCAAAAGCATCAATTCTTCAGCAGTCAGCCTTCTTTATGGTCCAGTTCTCACTTCCATACATCACTACTGGAAAAACCATAGCTTTGACTCCACGGACCTTTGTCAGCAAGGTGATGTCTCTGCTTTTTTAAGATGCTGTCTAAGTTTGTCATCGCGGTCCTCCCAAGAAGCAGGCGCCTTTTTAATTTTGTGGCTGCTGTCACCATCTGCAGTGATCATGGAGCCCAAGAAAGTAAAATCTGTCACTGCCTACATATCTTTTCCTTCTATTCGCCAGGAGGTGATGGAACCAGTGGCCATGATCTTAGTTTTTTTTTATGTTGAGCTTCAGACCGTTTTTGGCGCTCTCCTCCCCCTCATTAAGAGGTTATTTAATTCCTCCTCACTTTCTGCCATCAGAGTGATATCATCTGCATATCTGAGGTTGTTGATATTTTTTCTGGCAACTTTGATTCCGGTTTGGGATTCCTCCAGTCCAGCCTTTTGCATGATGTATTCTGCATATAAGTTAAATAAGCAGGGAGACAATATACAGCCTTGTCGTACTCCTTTCCCAATATTGAACCAGTTGTTCCACATCCAGTTCTAACTGTTGCTTCCTGTCTCACATACAGATTTCTCAGGAGATAGATAAGGTGGTAAGGCACTCCCATTTCTTTAAGAACTTGCCATAGTTTGCTGTGGTCCACACAGTCAAAGGCATCTGCATAGCCATGTGTTCCAATTCAATGGGCATTTAATCATCATCATCATAATTATCATCCCCTCCATGGGCCCAGGCCTTGTTGATATGGAGTTGTGCATTTCAGTGAGGTTGAGAACTATGCTGAAGGGTTTCCCAAGCCAAGCAGGTCTCAACTGAGAAGCCAGGCCAAATGTGTCCACCAACCATCAATTATGATGAAAGAAAATAAACAGGAATCCATATCAGATCAGTCATTGCCTTGGTCAACAAGGATCACATCAGATACTATCGCCCTTGCGCATCTGATGACAATTCTGACTTATGGAGACTCTTTCCAGGGTTTTTCAGATACAGAATACTCAGAAATTGCTTAACATTCTCTTCCTCTGGGGCACCCTGGGACTGTATAGCTTGCCCACAGACTGGCTATACTTCACAGGAAGCACAGTGAGGAATCGAACTTCCAGTCTGAGTTTCTGCAGCCAGATACCTAAACCACTGAGTTATCCAACCAGCTACTGTATTATTCCTCTTGGATGAAGTTTATGAATAAACATGTATCACAGTTGACCAGTTAATGTTCACAAACATGAAACTGCTTGTTCATCTATGGCTATAACACAAACCTGAGACTAACTTGATTAGTGAAATATCACATTCTCCCTCAGCACTTTGTATGGACCTCTGAGATCAACTTCAAAGTCTCCTGTTTGTAAGGAACAGGACCTTCATGCCTATTGCACCTCCTTATGGAATGCTGATGCACATCAAACACATAATGCCCCATTTTTCAGGTTTGCAAGTAGTTTCCAAATATCTATTTGTTTTCAACTATCTCATTTCAAATGAGTACCTTCTTGAATTGCTGTATATATGGTGCTGTTAGAATTATTTTACTGTACTGGCCTAAAACCCAGTTTTAGACACACTAGAGTAGATCTATTAAATAAATAGAAACTAGGCAAGTCAAAACTTACTGAAGTTCAATTAATTCAATGGTTTCACTCTAATTCGGACTGAGACTGGAATTTAGGCAAATGTTTTCACTGGTCTGAATGCCATTTGTGAACAGTATTATTGCTAGTTCTTTTTTATACAATTTTAATGATGTTTCATAGTTCTGAATTAGTATTGATTTCACATGGTGAATCTGTACATTAGAAGATGCTTTCACTAGGCTGGACCCTAGAAGACAACCTAAAATATTTTAAATAAATGAATAATTTCTGTATGAAAGTAAAATTAAAGAGCTGGAAAGTCACTGAAAATGCATAATCCACATTAAAAATCCAAAATGAGATGCTGTTATAGTTAAGCGAGCCTAAAAAGTCTTAATCCAGTGAACATACAAAGGCCAAGCAAGAATGCCAAACGTCTACTTTCTTTCCTGGTTTAGAAACAAGAGTGAGTGTTTCTGGAATTTAAGGGATGTGTGTGTTTTTTTTAGTCATTTGTCATCTTTTGTCACTTCATTGCTTATTTTAAAGTCAAAGGAAAAGGGGTGGTCATTTAGCTACAGACAAGAAAGAATGCTAAAAAACTGTTTACTAAATAAGCAAGTAGAAAATAAAAAATAAAAATTTTTTGGTTGCTTGTTTTTTTTCTTTTAAAAAACACAAGTTAAGAAACATCAGGATAAATTTTACATGTACATCACCCAATGCAAACATCTTAAATATTGGGTATACCTGGTCAGGTGAGTAGGTTTTCTGGGAATGTCTGCACAAGCAACGTTCCCATCTAATTTTCTGTACCTCATGAGTGCGACTCTGCCATCCCCTGCATAGTTCCATAGTGACTGGAACTAAAGCGGCTGAAAACCATAGTTGTGGATGGGGGGCAGAGTTGTGCACACGCACATCTTGGAGGGTGCCTTGTGCACAAGGCAAGAAGAAAAAAATCTGTGCACTGCTAAAACTGGTTTCAACCCCACCTTAGTCTTCTTAATAAACATTTTTGTAGTTTAAAACTAACATTTGCCCAATTAACATAAACATAACATTAAACAGAAATCAAACAAAGCAGTCATACTCCTAGGTATTTCCTTTTAAAATTTCCTTAGTTAAGCAATTAAAAATCAATATATGATTACTTAAAGAGAAACTCTTCCTCTGCTTTCACATTTGAAAAGCTAAGCCTCACTTTTCCAAAAAGATTAATTCTTTCTCTTTCCTCTCACGGCTGAAAAACTGGTCAACCAATACTGAGTTGGTGGGTAAGGAGATGCGCAAGATGCCAGAAGAATATAATCACTATCTGGGAAGGCTCTAAGGCTGCCCTTTTGACTTATCAATTTCAGTAAGCAAAATTTCAATCAAGCCTAGATAAAATATACTAATCCTAAATAGACCAAGTTTGTCACCTACCACTTTCTGTAAGCTGCTTACCATACAGGAAGAAAAGAAATACTAAATTAAATGCCAAACAGTAGCAGACAGCACTTGTTTGGCTGATTAACTTGTAGACAAGCATTACAAACAAATCTGAGCACAGTCTGCAGCAAATTAAATTCCACTGCTGTAAAGAATAAAGAATTTGTTGAGAAGGAGAATTAGCAACTTTACACCCAGGAATGCCTCTTTAATTTAATTGTTCCACACTGCAAAACAGAACATGCAAATACAATTTGGATATTTAATAATGAAATTGGCAAAGCAAGGAAATAATTTCAATATACTACTAACTGCAAATATGCACAATGAAAAAAGTCTGGCCCAAATTCCCTCCCCCAATGCCCCCATCCCCTTTCCTTATTAGGACTGGATTCTGTTAACATTAATCAGAACAAGTCTAATTAAAGGTTACAAGCTTAAAATATATTCTAATTAAAGCTCTAAATAGCAGCACGATTACAGCACTATAGTTTTAGTCCCACCTCAATGATCTTCTTGGCTTCTTTGTATTTGCCAGTGATCAAGAAAGCAAAGAAGAGTTCGTAGAGCATCATCATTTCACCTCTCTCCTGGCTCATGAAGTCCACAGCTAGAGGAATGAAAAAAACAAACACACATTCAAGTTACCTAGTTGTTGTAGGGTTTTCAGGCTCTTTGGCCGTGTTCTGAAGGATGTTCTTCCTAACGTTCCGTCCTCTGAAGATGCTGGCCACAGAGACTAGTGAAACGTTAGGAAGAACAACCTTCAGAACACGGCCAAAGAGCCCGAGAAACCCACAACAACCATCAAATCCTGCACATGAAAGCCTTCAAGAATTCAAGTTACCAGTTTAGATTAGGGAAAGACATGAGTGAATCCAGTGCCACAGGGGGAAATTATGTACCACTAAAGCTATTTGCTGTAATGTTTTTTTGCAGTTCTCTTCATGATGATCTGCATGTACCTTCCTGTAGTGCTTAATGTTACCGAGAACTTGTGCAATATCTGGACCATTGGGGAAATGAGGATTTGTGGGTTTTTTTTAGTGAAGATGTATGGCTGGGGTGGGGATGGGGTTAATTCTCAACTATAGAAAGAACAACATAGGGTTGGAATTTGAACAGCACACACTTTTGTCATGATGGTAAGTAATGCAGCAATTCAAAAACAATGTAACTCCACAATCATAGTCTTTACTGTTCATCTTGTCCATGACAGAAAGGGATTATATGACAACACTATCTTTACTTTTGTTCAGAGTCTTAATAAAGTCCATGAGATTTTCTCAATAACCTAACGCCTAATTTTAGAATATTTTTATTATGCAAGTCCTCAAGACTACAGCATGTTATTTGGTTCTGTGATGACAACAGACTCTGAAGCATAAAATGCACAAAAGGCTTAGGAAAATTTAATTAATGTTAACTACCAACCTTTCTGCAACAATTCCGTATGTCCATTCTCTACTAACTTGCACAAGACTAAATGAAATCTAGGGAATACGCCATAATTCTTATAGCAATCCATCACAGCTTCAAGGGCTGCTGATAAGTCATCCCTGGGAAAAAAAATCCATAATGAGTTTTCAGAAGGAATTAAAATGCAGAATACCTCCAAACCTTAAACATTAATTTGAACATCATATTCTTACTTACAACTTCACATTTCCATTCAAAACATAATATGAACATGCCATACATTCCATTTGTTTCCTAACAAGTTTCTTCAAGATCTTAAAAAGACATCTTTACTGTTTTGATAATACAGAAGTTTATTAAACTTAAACTTATTTGTCTGGTAATAAATCATTTCAGATTTTTAAAAAAATCTTACGGAAATTATTTAACTATGGATATCATCACTGAAAAGGAATTTGTTAGATGTAAGTATTTATGTCCAGGTAGTGCTTATTCATTATATGGAAGTTTCTTGTGAGCCCTCCACACTAGTGACAAACTAATTCAGATTTAAGTTAATCAAAGTAAGGGCTGTCTAGGTTAGATTATGAGGAGCAATTCATACTAATAACACATGGTACAAAAGTCATCTAACCTATGTATTTGTTGAATAAATAAAACCATTTACGAATGCTTGTGATTACATGTTTTATGTGGGAATTGAAAACTAGAGTCTAGAGGTAAAGCTTAGCATGCTCAGAAAAAGTCTGATAACAATTTACATGTTAATAACAGTATTAATTGTAGAAGATTTTGAGACAGAAGAACTAATATTAGGCCTTGAAAGAATATTTTATCATGAATTGTGTTTAGCATACATTTACAAGGTTCTATCACCCTGTAAATGTGTGCTAAAAAAGAAGCCCACAGTATTATTTATAGTTTTGCACTAAAAAGATCTGCAAATATCCCCCCCCCCCCC